GCAGGGACACACTAGGAGACCCCCTCCTTGGGTCACAGACTTGCCTCCCATACTTGCCTGGGACAGAGGCCTTCCAGCCGACTCCCAGCAACTGACACTGCTGGGCCTCCTTCCTTACCTCCACATCCCACACTTGCTGCTCCTAAAGCCCCAGAGGTCCCTGGGCTGCCCCCTTCCCGATGTTCTTCTAGGAGCCAAGATGGGTGGGAATGGGTGTTAGATCTTCAAAACCCCTAGAGCTAGGCAGGTGTTGGAACGATGAAGGCCCTGAAAGGCTCTAGAACTTTTTCTGCCCTGCCCCTGCCATCTTCACAAAGTTGTGCAGACTCTGCACTGGGCACTCGAGGTACCAAGATGAATGAACTCTAGTCCTTTCCCTCAAGGAATTCACAGGGCAGGAGGCATGAGTAACTAACTACACCCTGCATGGAGCTGCTGCTCTAGTGGAAAGCTCAGGTCCCTGGAACAAAGAGCAGAAAGCAGTGACTTTTCCTGGAGGGTGGGCTGGGAGGTGGCACATCGGTAGGAGACATCTGAAGGACCGGTGTGCAGGTAGGACAATGAGCAGAGGCTGGGGGACACCATCTGCAGAAGCTCAGTGGGCAGGAGGCTGGCTCTGTCCTGCTGCTCCCTCCCTGGGAGCCCCCCCGGCCCCACCTGGCTGGCTCCTGAGACACTCTCACTGCTGGGCACTCCCACCTTCCCACTCTCCTTTGGCTTTGGGATTCCACACTCTCTGGGTCTGCCTGTCTCAGATGCCTTGTCCTGTCTGCCCCTGGACATGGGGGTTCCACAGGGCTTTGGCCTCAGCATCCCTTCTCCTTGTTCCACACACTCTTCTCAGATGAGCCCTCCACTCCCAAGGCTTCTCTCCATCCCTGCCCTCTTGACTCCTCCAGCCCAGAGCAGCCACCGCACCCTGGGCAAGCCCTTGGCCCACTCACAGCAGACACACAGGGAGCCACAGTGCCGGGCATGGGACTGTAATGGGGGCAGCAGGGCAGCAGTTCAGGGAGCACTAACCAGGAGGAGTGGTGGCAGGGGGGGACCCTCGGGGCAGGTTCCCCAGTACAGGAAGGTACCACTCTGAGGAAAGCTTGTGCTGGGGGTGGGGTGTGGGGAGGGTATTAGTTTTGTTAAGGAAAATTAGACTGGAAGGAGACTGTATTTACCCTCATCTTAAAAACAAATAGGGCCAGGCACATTGGCTCACGCCTATAATCTCAGCACTTTGGGAGGCCAAGGAGGGTGGATCACTTGAGGCTAGGAATTCAAGACCAGCCTGGGTAACATGGCGAGACCCCATCTCTTTATTAAAAACCAAACAAACAAACCAGAAATCTGGACATAATATAGGCAATGCAGTACAATAATTTCTAGGAGAACGGAAACCAACAAGGTGAGCCCAGTGAACGGCCTGGAAGCAGAGGGAAGGCAGAGTCAGCAGCCTCACTGAGCTGAGGAGACAGGCAGGTCAGGAAGGTCAAAGTGTGGGACTTGCAGGGCAGACAGCTAGAGAGGAGCAAGAGGCAGAGAGAAACTCCACACAGCTCCCAAGTGGGGGTTCCCCTTGTGACTCTGACTGAATAATATCTGCATGCAGATGAGAAAATTACCAGGCTAGGCAAGAACCATCAGAAAGGAGAACACAAAACAATTCCAGAAGCAGTTCATGTTGTACCAGCAACAGTGGAGTGACGCACTAACACTGGGAATCACAGAGGACCGTGGAAGGAAACCCCCTCAGCAGCAGGGCCACGTTAGGCCAAGACTAAAGGCTCTGCAGGACGCAGCCTAACAAAACTTAAAAGGAAACCCCGAGAGGATTGAACAGATTCCAAGTAACCTCACTGTCTCCCAGAACAAAGCCCCCAGAAAGGATTTAAAGGGACACAAAAACATTCAGCACCTAACTGTAAGATTCACAATGCCTGGCATCCAACCAAAAATTACTAAGTATACAGAGAGAAGTAGAAAAACTCGTAAGCAGGTGGAAAATAAATCAGTGAAAACAGACTCAGATGTCACAGATGATAGAATTAGACAAGGACATGAAAACAACAAGGTATTATAAATACATTCTACATGTTTCAGAAAATAGAAGTAAAAGCACAATGAGAATTAAAACTGATGGAATTTAAAGCAAAATGGAAATTCTAAGAGGTGAAAAATATAATTATCTGCAGTGAAAAAATACTGGATCAGATTAATAGCAGGTTACACACTGAAGAAGAAATAATTAGCAAACTTGAAGACATAGTCATAGAAACTATCAAAGACAAAAAACAGAAGAAAAATGAAGAAGATAACACAGCATCAGTGATATACAGGACAATATGAGTCAGCCTAATGCACGTGTGCTAGGAATCCCAGACAAAAAAATGCGGGGAGGTGGGACTGCACACATACAACCCAAGACCCAAGAAACTAGAAGAAAACCACACCAATGAACATCACAATCAAACTACTGACAATCAGTGATTTAAAAAAAAAGAAAAAAGTATCTTACAAACAGCCAGGGAAAACAGATACATAAAGTACAGAGGAACAAAGACAATGACAGACTCCCTGTCATTACAGCCTCAGGGTGAGGGCCAAATCTGGACCATTGCCTGTTTTTGTAAACAGCCATTTCACACAAATAGTTCTGCTACAACAGCAGAGCTGAACAGTTGCAATAGAGCCATATGGCCTACAAAGCCTCAAATACTTTTGATCTGCTCCTTTGTAGAAAGTTTGCCAATCCCTGCCCTAGAGCAAAAAAGAGATATAGCTAATAAGTCAATAGGAGACAAAATGGAATCATAAAAAAATACTCAGTCCAAAAGAAGGCAGGAAAAAAAGAATAGATGGTACAAATAGGAAACAAGGCAACAGATTTAAATATATCAGTAATTACATTAAATGTAAATGGTCAAAACAATCCAATTAAAAGGCAGAAACATTTAGACAAAAGCAAGACCCAACAGTATGGTGCCTGTAAAACAAACTCACTTCATATATATAGATGAGTGTTATGCTCTGAATGTTTGTGTCACCCTCTAAATTCATACGTTGACACCTAACCCCCAAGGTGATTATCTTAATAGGTAGGGTTTTTGAGAGGTGATTACATCATATGGGCTTTGCCTTCAAAAATGGGATTAGTGCTTTTATATTATACAAGAAGCCCAAGGGAGCTTGTTCACACCCCCGACAATGTGAGAACACAGCAACAGGGCACTATAATATGAAGCAGAGAGTCCTCATTATACCCTGAATCTGCTGGCATTTTGATGTTAAGACTTCAGAACTGGGGACAATACATTTTCTGTTGTTTATAAATTACCCATACTAACACAAATCAAAAGGAAGTTGGGGTGGCTACATTAATAGCAGACAAGACAGATTTCATAGCAAAGAATATTCCAAGGGATAAAGAAGGTGATTTTATAATGACAGAGGTTAATTCAACAATAGTACATAAATAGCCTAAATGTGTATGCACCTAAGAATAGTTTCAGTGTATATAAAGCAAACACCAGTTGGAATGGAGAAAGAGAAAAGCCAGTAAGGATATGGAATACTTGAACACTATCTACCTAATTGGCACTTACATTAAGGAGGAAATATTCCAGGACTGGTTAGTAGAAACGAACGTGTTAAGCAAGTCTCTGAATTCAGAACATGCAAGTATCAGAGAATACAAACAATGTGGAGAAGGCAGTTAAATTGAAAAGCATTTCCATTCTTGGAAACACACACAAGGTGAGCCAAGAGCAGAGCTGGCGATCAAGTGAACAGCAGGTTTCTAATCACCCTGGTTTCACTCATGTTAACTATTTTATAATGAACAAAACTACAAGTAAATGAAACAAACAACAGTCAGGAACAGAGAACAGGTCGTCTAAATAGGAGGAATCCGGGAAGGCCTTATGCCATGGACAAAGCATGGCATGGAGTGGAGGCCTTCCTGGCTCTTGCACACCTGCTTGGTCTGTCCAGCTGATGGGGTCTTAGACCAGGCCAATGCAAACAAGACACACTGTCTGTCCTCCTGTGCTTGGTATTAGAAGGAAGTAAACTCCACAACTGGGACCCTGGGGTTGACTGCACTCCCTACCTGACACCAAGGTAGACATGCCCTACCCACAGGCAGAGACAGAGATGGAGGCGTCACCATGGGGCCTGACATAAGTCTTCAAAAAGATGAGAGTCAGCATTAAAACTTGCTGTTCCTCTGAAGCCCTTTCCCAGATAACCCAGGCTTAAAACTCAGGATATCAGACTGGCACCATCCCCCTCTCCCTCCCCACCCAAACCACTCCTCTTAACAGTTCCCAGCTCAGTAACTGGCACCTTGATACGCCCACACCCAGACACTCTTGGTAGGAATCTGGGGGCTATGCTGTGTCTTCCACCTTCACCTACTGTACGTAACTGATGCTCATTCCCACTTTTCTTACCCTGTATTTGGTTCTCACTGTCTTTCCTGGCGCCCCCCAATCCAGCTTCTCAGCATCCCTGAGAGCGCTAAGATGGCATGGCTCCTTGTAGGGGCTCAGGCCCATCGGGAGCCAGCTGTCACTGGTCCAGCCTCATCCCCAGCTTTGTATTCTGCATGGGCTGCCCACCTTCTAGGCCACCTTCTGCCTCCAGGCCTGTGCTCACGCTGTTCCCACTGCCCAGCCACTCTCTTCCCTCCTCCTCTCCACATTCAGCTCATCCTTTGAGGAGGCTCTCCCACCAGGGGCCTCCTTGAAGGCAGCGATGGCTGCCCTGCCTGTGCCTGTGGCCGGGCCAGACAGGTGTGGGCCCCACCTGCTGATGATGCCCTTCATCTGGATGTCCTTGTCCTCCTGCTGCCGCCGCAGCCGCTCCTCTCCCTCCTCCAGCCGTGCCTGGTACTCCAGCACTAGCTTCTGCGTCGTCTCCTCCTGGCACTTGAACAGGGTCTCATACTCCTCCAGCTTCTTGGTGGAGATTCGCAGCTTGTCCTGCAGCACCGCCAGGTCCTACCAGGAGAGCAGCATCCACGGGCACAGCACCCAGGACACAGAGAGCACAGCTTCGTCAGCCCGAGTGGGAGGAAGGGTAGGAGGAGCCCCACTTGGAAGGCCCCAGTGGCTGTGACCTGCCCACTTCACATAGCAAAGAGATGCCCAAGGAGCCCAGCTGGTGGGGGCTGCAGCCAGACGTGTGCCTGTTCCCCACCAGGGGTTCTCCACTCCAAGCTCCCAGCCTGACCTGTATGGCTATGGCGGGGATGAAGACTCAAACCCAAATCCCAGGAGTAAGGGTGTAACTAAGGCTTTGAACTTTTTATGACAAAGGTTAAAGAACCCTTGGATATATGAAGGACGTGTGACAGCACCCTGAGAGGTGGGAGCTCTGCAGGAGGGGAAACTGAGGCCCAGACAAGGAGACCATGTCACATGAAGAGCGACTGACTAGCAGGGTAAGATCCCAGCTTCCCAGCCTCTGTTTGAATCTAAAGCCAGAGGGTGGCAGTGGCATGAGGAAATGGAGAGAGAGAGAATTGAAAGGCAGGTGGTCCAGGCTCTGGATCTGCCTCAGTCCAGCACAGACCCCAACCATCAGGGAGGAACAGGGATGTGGACGAGGCTGGGAAGAGGCGTGGCTGCACAGAGGAGCCAGGTGCTCTGTGCTGAGCAAGGAAAGGCCAACGCCGGGATCAAGAGGGGCCAGATGCCATGAGGACACAGGGATGCAAAGAGCCTGGAGTGAGGCCAGGCCTCCTCGCTCCCCAGCCAAACTCTGGCTCTGAGAGCACTGTGTCCCCTGTCCCCTGGTCCCCTTCACGTAACTATGGTGAAAGCAGGTGGATGTAGTGGACCAAGGATGGTGGTGGCGGCAGGATGCAGCATGGAGATGGGCCTCGCCTGAGGCCAGGGAGAAGTTCTGCCATTCTGACCCCGATACCCTTGCTCGAGAGGCTGCCACAGGCTTTCCTGGGGCCCGGAGGGGCGAGAGCATCCAGAGGGGAGTGGAGAAGCGCCTGCCGATCTGGGGCCTGCACTGGTTCCTCCGTCTACATGGACTGCAGCTGGCAGTAGGAGACAAAAACTGCCCCCCGATCCAGAGCAGCTGCCACAGCTGGAAGGCTTGGGAGACCAACAAAGCATCCCCCTGCCCCAGCAGATGCTAGATGTGTGTGGCAGAGTGAGATTTTGATTTTCAGAATAGGTTCTTTTCCCAGGAGTGAGGAAGAAAACATCTCAATGGTAGCCTGACCCCACTCCCAATGCTGGTAACTGCTGTTTCTTTCCCAGGCCCTGGTGGAGACCAGAGTGGTGAAGACCCAGGCTGTGGGCAGGCACAAGCCCCGGAGGCCAGGCTGGGGTGGCTCTCCCAGTCTTCCTGGGGACCTATGCCTCTGCCTCCTCAGGTACTAGGCTCCCTCAGGGGGGCTCTATATGTCTCTTGGGCACCCTCAGCCCCTCAGCCCCTCAACCCCCAGGTCCTCAGGAAGCTCAGCTGCCTCAGTTGCCCCAGGCTAAGGAGCCTTCCCAGAGGTCCCAGGAGTCTATATCTAAGACAATTCCCTTGTGATTCCAATCTGTAGATGGGAAGCCTCAGGTCTAAGCTGCTAATCCATCCCTCTTGTTACTTTTCTTCCAGACCCCACTGACTGCTATCCTCACAGGGAACAGGGGCTCAGAGGGGACAAGCCCTTCACAAGGACACAAGCACCCACTGCTGGGGGACCTGGGGGAGAGACTCCTACCAGCTGCTCCAGGAGGCAGCCCCGCCCTGCCCCGAGCTGCCAGGGTCCAGCTTTACCTTTTCTGCTTGGCTGAGCTCGTCCTTACTCCTTAGCCTATCCCTGTGGGGGGGGTCTGGGCCCAGGCCCTCGTCTTCTAACAACTGCGCGTTCATGGTCAAGAGCCAAGCGGCTGTGCGGTCCAGGGCATTTGGGCTCACGGGTGAAGGGCCCTACAACGAAACACAGCTGTGAGGGGCTGGAGGGAGGCGGAGGGCAAGCAGGAAGGGCAATAGTGGCCCAGGTGAGCCACAAGGACAAGTAGCTCTGGGACATGGTGGGGAGGGAAGGGTCCTCCAGCTGACTGAGCGCCTACAGAGGCAGTCCCCACCCAGGAACTCTGTCTCTCAGACAGTAGCCGAAGGCAGAGCCGACAGGTGCCAGGTGGCCTCCTGAGCAGCACCCTCTGCTGCCAAGGGGACAGAGAGTGACCCTGCCACTGGGGGCACCGGGGCAGGCTGAGCTGAGAGGAGGACAGGGCCAGGCTGGGCTGTCAGCCCAAGGCACCTCCACTCCAGACACCGCCTGCAGCCTTTGGGTGACAGGGCCATCCATGCTCCAGGTGGTTGTGCCTGGAGGTCTGTCCAGCCTGTGAAAACATTTTGGGAGGGGAGTGTGGGGCCAGAGTAGGGCAGGATGACTCCTACTTTGGGTGAGGGCTTCGACAGGCTTGGAACTGAAGATGAATGCACTCTTTCTCTCTGACCCCAGCCTGCCCCTAGGGGCACTGACAGAAGGGCCTGGAGTTCCCCAAGGCTACAGTGTCCCTGGTTCACAGGATTCAGGAAGAAGCCAGGGGGAGGGGGTGGTGGTGCATGTGGCAGGCTGGTGGGATGGGATGGCAGCTGGGTGAGGGAGGAGGTGAAATGACTGAGAGGAGGAGGATGGTATGGGGTATGACAGCCCAGCTGGGCCCAAGTGCCCAGCCCTGCCCTCTGACTAGTGGCACTGACCTGCTTGTGCACTGACCGTGGCTTCAGTTCTGGGCTGTCCCCCTTGGAGGAAGAGGACTGCTGCCTCAGGCGGGTACTGGGGCCTGCCCAATCAGGTGAGGCTGATGCCAGGGTTCCGCTTGAGGGTCTTGGGTACTGCAGGGTGCCCAGCAAGTTGGGGGGCGTCCGGCCGCGGGGGGCAGGAGGTGGCGGTGGGGGTGGGGGCGGAGGCTGGTCGATCCTCCTCTGGGGGCCAGCACTGTTCTGCCGTGGCACCGTGGGCTGCCCGCCTTTTTCAGTCAGTGACATCTGTCGCCGTGCCAGCTCACCGGGCCGCCGAGCCAGCTCCTCCGCGGCAGTGCTGAAACTTCCCAGCTTGGCAGCGGCCGCCAATTCCTCGCTGTTGCTGTGTGAGCTCAGGGAGCTGTGGCCCTCAGAGCCTGAGTCGCCAAGGCCGCGGGGTGACAGCGGCAGGCCAGCCGCCATCTGGTACACAGGGTTCTGGAAGGAGAGCGGTGCCAACAGCTGGGGCCGGCCTGGCGCGCCCTCGGAGGTGCCTGGTGTGGTTGGTGTCTGGCCTGCCCGCCGCACCGTGGCCAGCCCTGCCAGGCTCACTGGGGTTGCCCGGGCTGGCCACCCAGCCACCAGCTGAGCTGCAGGGGCCTGCCCATCTGTGGGGAGGACATCGGGGCCCGCTGGGGAGCCTGCCTCCCCATCCAGTGCACGGGCATCCTGGAGGTCCACCATGGAGAGGCTCTTGCCACCGTTGGCCATCTGAAGATCAGGCTCGTTGGCTTCCGAGTAACTCGAGCTGCGGGCAGGTGAGGGCTGGACCCCGGAGGACCTTGTGACAAAAAACAAGTCCTTGTTTTCGGGGGTTGGAGACGGTAACCGGGTGAAATCTATCAGACTGCAGGGAGACAAGCACACACAGGGAAAGAAGGGGAAAAGAAGAACTGTGAGTGCAGCCAAGGCGGGTCCAAACCGACAGCACCCACCAACCTGCCGGGGCCTGGCAGCCCAAGCCAGCGCTGGGGAGATGGATGCGCTCGGGTAACAGGAGTGGGAGAATCCGGGGACCAGAGGCTGAGACGGCTGCTCCTGCACAGAACCTCTTCTTTAGGGGCCAGCACTGCACATTTCAGGCCGCGCTGCCTGGAAGACCCCTTCCCTGTTCAGCTGCATCTTGGGACAATGGGTACTGGGGCCTGGCTTGCTCTGGAAAACTCCTCCTCAGCTAAGCCCTAAGCCACAACTCAGTGGCTCTCTGCTATCCACGGATCCTGCATTGAGAACTCCAACTTCAGAGTCACTGGGTTCCCTCTGCCTCTTCCCTCTTGTTCCTAATCAGACTGGTAACTGAAGTGGGGGCCCGGTGAAACCTCCTCTTGCCCAGCCTCCTGCTGCCGCTCCCTTGTTTGACTGGCAGGCGGGGGCTGGAGTTCCTGGCAAAAACAAGGAATGAGAGCAGGCTCCATGGAGAGCATGACTCGGTGGGAGGGCTGCACTTGCCCTGGCCTCCTCCTCACTCTACGCTTTTCTCTGGCCTCTCCCTGGCCCCTCCCCAGAAGCTAGCTCCTTTGGAAGAAAGCATAACTGTGGTGGGGGCCGGGGGGGCTTTGGAGAGAAGAACGTGGGTGGGGGGAACTGAAGGCAGCAAGGACTTGGGGGGGTTGATATGGCTTGGAATGCGGAATGGGTTGGCTTAGCCTCAGATGGCAAGGAAGCGCCACTCCCTGAGATGGGCAGCAGCAGCCACTCAGGGCTGCAATGCTCATTGGCCTGGGAGAGCTGGCTAGAGCAGCAGATGAGCCAGGAAAGATGGAGAGCAGTGGGAACCTGGCTGCCCAGGCCACACGCCAGGTCAGTCTTTTCAGAACTCACGGGCCCGGCTGCCTCTCAGCCGCTCAAGGGCTGTCCACCGCACCCCCCACTTCAAACTCTTGGCCTGTGACTCTGCTTGGCTTCGCTTGGCACATTCACCGAACAGATCCAATGCAAGACTCAGCGGACCTGCATCTCTGGCCCCTCCTAGGCTCCCCTAACCCCAGGTTCTTGATCTCAGCAGGTTCTTGATCTCAGCACCCTCCCCTGCTTAAAAGCCTGCCCTGCCACTGCCTCAGGGAGACCATACTCCCAACGCTGCTGCTGCAGCCACGGCCTCACATGCTGGGGTAAGAGGGATCCCTGGTGGGAGAGGGGAGAGTAGGGGTGCAGCAGAAATGCTTCACCATGAACTGAAAGAAATGTCCCTATTTTGACTTAAACAAGAACATTTTGCCTTCCAATCTGCCTTGTGTGTGTCTTACTTAGGCAAAGCAGACCCCAGGACTGGGTCTCAGCAACACTTTATGTTTTCTGGGGTTCCCAGCCTCCAAGCCTGGCAGAGCCACCGAACTCCTATTGAAAACACCCCCAGGTAAACACCACTTCTGAAGATTCTGACTCAGGCTCAGGAAATACCAGGAACATGTGTATTTTTAACAAATACCAGGGGATCTGGAAATGCTGGGGGTTATTTGAGACAATTACTCTTTGACACATCATGTCTTTGCTTGTCCCTCTACCTAGAATGCCTTTTCCACCAATGGAAATGATACTTTTCTTAAAACATTAAAAAAGAAAAGAAAAGAAAAGAAAAAAACTATAGCATCATCTCCTCTAGGAAGGCTTCCCTGATTATTTCCAAATGGAGGTTCACCACTTAGGACCTGTACAACTCAAGTCTTGCCAGGTTTGTTTTATAAACACTAGGTAGGCATTCTCTTTCTTCATCTGAGATTACAGGTGGGCTGTGCCTAGTCTGCACACGCACCCACCACACCCAACATGCCTGGCAGCTCTTACCCGGAAAGATCATTCTCGATCACCATCTTCTGCAGCCCAGCTGAGATGCTGCTGCTGCCAGAGCCTGGTGTGGAGGCCAGGTCGTTGGTCCCTGGCAGCTGCCCACTACCTGGGGTGCTCAGCGCTGTGTGGACGTCCCTCAGGATCCGAGGCAGGGGTCCCAGTTTGGACACTATGCTCTGCAAAGGCACAGCAAGAGGCAGGTGTGACCTCCTGGGACCACACAGGTATGCTATATGTGCTGCAGCCACTGTGGCTGAAAACCACCGTGGAGCCTGTCAGAAGTGCAGATCCCCACCTGCCACCAGTCAGAGCTGCTGGGTCTGGGAGGGGGGTGAGCCCAGGAATCGGTAAATCTACGTTTTTAACCAGCTCCCAGATATTTCTGGGGCAGGAGTAGGAGGCCCACAGGGGGAGATGCTGACCTAGTGCAAGCCTCTCCTTCAGTTTGCCCTGCCCTGGTGCCTCCGCAGAGAGGAAAGCACACATGGAATCTCAGCATTTCCACACCTCCACCTCTCCATCCAGAGGCTTCTGTGACAGCCCCTCTCACATCACCTACTCCATGGGATGGGCTGGGGCCTGACCCACTTTGGCACCTGAGCACCAGTGGAGATGGTCCAGGCACCCCCAGGTGCTGGTCAGGCAGAAGGCAGAGCCTGAACCCATCTGAACCTTGCTGGCACGCTTTAGAGGACTTGAGGGGCAGAGGATTCTAGGCTACGGGGACACTGCCTTCACCTGTTTATGCACAAGCTTCCACAGAGGTCTCTGTGAGAAAACAAAGTGTGAAAACTCATGCAGGCAATAGAGCACACAATTGAGAGGCAAACAGTTGTGTTTCAAATCCCTGTTGCACCCTATCACCAGTGTGACAATACCAATCACCTTCCATTCTTCCCACCTGGTTGTGCAGATACGTGGACAGCACAGGGGGAAGGTAAGTGGTGGCAGTGACAGTGACTGGTGTTGGCTGCAGCGCAGGGACCGGAACCAGTGGAAAGGAGGGTCTCGGCCCTCATTTCCATTTCTCCCTCCTGTGTCTCTCACAGCCAAAGGCAAGTGGATACAAATGAGCAAAAATGATGGCCTTTGATTGCAACAGCACCTATTTCTAGTGAAAAGTCAGGACTAACCTAAGTGTCTATCAACAGGGCACTGGTGAAATAAACAGCATTCATATGATGCAGTCATTAAAAAGCCCCTGGTGGTGGTGCAGATTGCACTGACAAGCAAAGAGGCCCACAATAGAGTGGTAAGAAACGCACACAGCAGCATACACAGTACGTTCTCGCTTTAAAACAAACTGAAAAAGGGAAAGAGCTCTATGTGTGTGCGCCTGCATGTTTGTGCGTGCTTACACATGCACAGATTGCGTCCAGGAGGCTGCATACCAGTGCTCTGAGCGGTCACCTCTAGGGAATGGGACCAGGAGGCATGAAGGGCCTTCCAGGCCAGTTTCAGCACCTTACAAAAGTAAGGTGGTCCCTTGGAGCCCTAGAAAGCAACAGATATTTGGGAAGAAGTTCCTGGTAGACCCAGCCCTTAAGTCCAAGAACTAATTGCTCACTATGTGGGCTGAGGCTGGGGGTCAGTGAAGTCTCAGGCTAGGGAGGGCTCACTTCAGGTGACTGCAGCAGTGTCAGAGGTGTCTAGGGAGTAACCTTGTCAACAGATGGTCAAGTGCAATCCTAGAAAGGTTTCCAACTTCCTGCTGGACAAGTGGAGGTACAGGGTCTTGAGTCATCTTCTTCATACAGGTGAATTCACGATCCAATTTTATTTCTCACATGCTCTGGCAGGCAGCACAGTGGCACTTGTCCACTAAAGGCTGAGTGCATGCGGAACACCCCAGCCCTAGTACCCAGAGTGGGGCAGCCTTGGCAGATACTGCTGAGTGAACACAGCATTTGCCCACAGAGAAAATGGGGCCCACAGATCCCCAGTGTGTTCTGACAGGACCTGGCCTGGAGCCCTGGGCTCCTGGTACGCAGTTAGCTCCTGATCATGCCACATGGGCAAATTCTCTGCCCTCCATGGTTACTCTGGAAGGGGGAACACTAAAAGACCGATGGTAGCTTTTGGCCCCACCTCCGCCCCACAGCCACAGGCACCTGCTCCAGCTGGCTGATGGCCTCCCAGAGCAGTGAGTGCAGGCTGGAGAGCTCACGGCCCAAGTCGATGTAGCCCTCGAAGCCAGCTGTGTTGGAGAGGGTCTCGGGGTTGGAGATCTCCAACAGGAAGCGCTGCATGTTGGTCCACTCATGCTCTAGGAACTGGTTCATGAAGGACATGTACTCCTCCTTGCTGCCGAATCTGGAGAGAGGGTAGCTGGGTGAGCACTCTGGGCCCAGGCAGGCCCTGCCCAGGAACTCCCTCCACTGGGACACCACCACCTGCTTTCCCCACTGTGGCCGGCTCCCACCCCACTCACTCCCCAAGTCAGCTGAATATGCTCTGACCGAGGTCACCAGGGCCCTCCTTGCTCATGGTAACAGTGACCCTTTTCTGAACCTTTTATCCCAGGACCTGGAATGTTCTGTGTCCCCCATACACTGCCTGTTAACAGTGTCCTTCTGCTTTTCCTCCAAGTTTCACTGTCCTGGTATGCAGATGATGCTCAACCCAGGTCTCCCAATGAGCTTTCAGACATGTATTAATATATGTGCAGGCACCTCCCCTGGGAGTCCCTCCTACTTAGCCTGGCCACGCGTGAAGTCATCACCATCACCCAAACCCATGCCCTCCTCCTGAGTTCCCTACCCTAAGTGGAGACCCCACTACCCATACAGATACCTGAGCCAGAACCTCTGGCAGTTGTCAACTCCTCCCTCTTCCTCGTTCCCAAATGGCATGGCCTGCTGATTTTGCCTTCTAATAACCCCTAACCTTGTCCCTTGTAGCCACTGCCTCCTGTACCCCCTCCCCTCCCTGCCAATTTTCTGCCATTGTTGCTAGAACCACAGCTATGCTCTCCTTTCAGGTCTTCTGGCTACCATCCTGCTCCCTGCAACCCATCTGCCCACTGCTGTCAGGGTGAGCTTTTCAGGGTCCAGAACAGAGGAAGGCCATCCTCTCTCTTGTTTAAAACTCTCTGGTGGCTCCCACAGCCCTGTCTGGCCTTCAGGTCCTTGCTGTCCTCTTAGGTCTCATTGCCAGCTTCTCCTGACCTGGCATAGCACATGGCCCTCCTTGGGATGTCCGGCCTCTGCTCCTCTTCCTTGAGATAATGAACGCCTCACCCTGACATGCAGTTGGGGGATCTTGTCACCCTGGAGGCTTTCCTGTCTCCTCTCCCAACAAGCTGAGAGCCCTTCTAAGAGGCTCATGTGTGTCTGTCACTGCTCCCCTGCTTATTCCACACATCTCCCTGGCTGAAGTACTGAGCGCTACCAGGGCTGATTCATCTTGGTACCGTCGGAGCCCAGTACACAGAGAGCCCCAGGATGGGGCTCAATCCACGCTTTGAGAATGAACAGCAGTGAGATGACCCAGCCCTTCTACTTCTGCCCACTTGCTCTAAGGATGCCACCGAAAACACCAATAGTGCTTTATCAGCAAAGAAAGACATCCTGACAGCATGACACCAGGACAGTGGTGCCCAACCCGAGTGTCCAAGCACAGGGAATGGGTTAAGGAAATACGGGCCAGTTCCCCTTGGAGGAATATTAGTCATTTATTTCAAAACAGGGCTTAATGAATGCTAAGGGATATGTGAGAATCCTTATAATAATACATTAATTCAAAAAAGCAAAAGGAAAAAAAAAAGTCTCATGTTGCCACCTTTAAAAATCAAGAAACATATCAAAATGACATATACCTTGAGTAGAAGGATAGAGTGTGGAGATTTTATTTTTTAAAAAGTGGGAAGGAGAGGGACTGAGGATGACAGGGACAAAACCAGGGCCTGTTTATGGTCTCTGCCCAGCTTGGGGGCAGAAACACCCCCAGGGCTTGCCCTGTGGATGCCAGCCCCGCCCACTCTGCCTGGTGAGGGAGGAGGCACTCACTTGGCAAAGTTGGCCAGGTTCTGGGTGACCTTGGCGATGAGGGTGAGGGTGCGGGCAGTGCGGTCATCGGGGTACTCCTGCAGCAGGTTGAAGAGTGAGGGCGACATGATGGCTGGGCAGAGGAAGCGCAGGAAGAGGGAGGCACTGATGAGCCGCTCACTGATGTCCGGCCGGCCGCGGCTGCTGCACTCCTGCCTCCACGAGGCAAACACCTCTTTCAACTCCCGTGGGAAGACGCTGTGCAGGGACAGACAAGGGTGGGCTTGGCCATCAAGCAGGGGCCCAGGACAGGAGTGCACACAGCAGGAACCTGCATTCCAGCCTTGGCTCTACCCCATCAGCTGCGTGAGGTCAGCCCCACTGTCTGAGCTCTGAGGACACAGCTGTCTGGGGAGAGCAGTCAGTACAGGGCGGCTGAAGCAAGTGCCCAGGCAGTAGGAGGAGTGGGGAGACCAGGTTCCCATCGGGCAGTGGGTTCTCAGCGAAGGGCCAGGCCGGTGGGATGGGAGGAGGCCTGAGGAGCTGGCTCTCCATCCTAACCGGAAATAACTGCCAAGGGCCAGTGCTGAACTACCTATCCAGCTTCTGGTCTGGGCCCTCCCCATCTCTCCCCCAGTCTCTACTTCATTTTTCAACCCTAACAGCAGGCATCTGGGTCTAGGGGGAAGTGAGGAAAACAGGAATAGACCACTATTCCTTGGGTTCCCATCACTGGCTTTGAGACTTATTTCCTTTGCTTGAATGATGTCATAGGAATCTGGGACTTCCTACAAGCTCAGAAAGATCAACAAGATGGGACTACCCCTGAACACAGTGGGAGAACACAGCTCTCCATTCTCTAGATGGTGAGGGAAAGGGAGGTAGTGACTGCCCCAGGGTAATGGAGCGAGTGGGCAGAGATGGCCCTAGACAATGGGGCTCCTGGTTCTACTGGGCACCTTGGCCTGCCATGGTCAGGCCCACCTGGCCAACCTTTAAGTGGTTTTCCTATTTTTTTTCCCTAAAAGATACATCTCCCAGCCTGGGGCAGGCCAGGCCCCAGTGGTCCCTGAACTCAGTTTACACTTGGCTCTGCCATGACCTCAGGGTGATGTGACCAAGGCCCTAACCCTCCTGGAAGAATTCGGTTTTCTCTCCCTTAAACTGAGAAAAAGACCTGCCCTGTCAAGCTCACAGAGCCATCGTAAGGCTAAAATCCCAAGGCTACAATAGGCTTGAAGAACTTGAAATTTCTTCCCCCACAGGCCCAGCAGCCTGCTCAGCAGGCTCTCCCACAATGCATGCTGGCTGACCCATCAAGGGCACGCCTAGCGGGGAATGAAGGTGAGCCACCTTTAGCCGTGGCTCTCACAGTGCCTGGCACAGAACTGGACAGGGGGCAGGTGTTGAGTGGTGACATCTATCAATGGCCTTGTCCAGAATGGAGAGGTGCCTCTGACAAATGCCAGAAAGAGGAAATGGAAAATCACTGTCCACAAATGTTTTCCCTGAGTCACATGCCCAGCCCCCCTGGGAAGAGGGGGGAGCGGGGAGGGGGAAAGCATGGCCCAGCTGGGAATGGGAAGTGTGTTCTCAGAGTTCAAGGCCCTATAGTTGCTCTCCACCCCAAGCCCAAGGGTGTGGAAAGCTGCGCATTTGTGGCCCATCTTGAGGTGCCCATTTGGCCCAGGTAAGCACCTTGTACAGCCCATGGGCAAAGGCCCTGGGTGCCCACCCTCCTGGCCTTGCCCATTCACCCCACCTTTTCTTGTCCTTGGGGAGCAGCAAACACTTCCCTGGCCCTCCTGTGTGCCCAGTCCTGAGCTGGTGGGCTCACCTGTCCCCAGGGTGCCCCAGCATTTGGAGGAAATGTTTCAGGCACAGGCACAACCCTATCCTGATGGGATCAGGGCTGCGACGGAGGGTACCCAGGTGTGTGGCCTTGGAGCAGGAAAGGCAGGAGTGTATGCAGGTCAAGGTGCAGGTAAGTGAGAGGCACATCTAACAAGGAGTGAGGTACGGCCAGGGAGGGAGTGGTGTCAGAAGAGGCTGTGGACAGAGGCTTGGGTGGGTGGGGGCTGTAAGCCCTGAGCTAGAGGGGAACACAGGTTAAACCTGGGCAGCTCCTCTGGGGTGAAAATGACCCCACTGCTTGGAATGACAGCAAAGCCCTCCTGGACAGTCCCGTGTGCCACCACAGGAGGAGGCTGTACTCGGCACCAGGCTGGCTGGCCACCACACACATATACCACAGGAGCAAGCCGGTGGCTATGAAGTCGGCCTTACCATAAGTTTCTCCGGGACTGATTCTGGCCCTGCTGAGGGGCCTGTCTGAGTAGCCCACCACTGCATGCCCTGCTGCTTTCTGGGGATGGCAGAGCCTGCAGACCCCGCTGTACTTCAGTCTAGTCCTTTCTCTTTATTCTCTAGTCCCAGCAAAAGGCCTGCCTGGGGTGCTCAGGCCCCCAGTGTGGCCCTGCTGCACCCCATCACAAGACTGTGACATGAGCACCTTAGCTCCCAGGGACAGGTGAGGAGCCTCAGATGAAGCCATCCACCCACCCCAACTGGGGGCCCGTACAGGGCCTGTCAGTCTCACTCCCGCTGCAGCCCAAGCACCCACAACAGCCCCCAGCACATGAAGGGTGCTCCCTTATCACCAGAAACGGCGGACTGGTATGTCCAGGTTCTTTTCACCACAAAGCCACAGCAATGTGCTAAATGCTGCCTCACCTGAGAGCTCAAAAGGGACTAGGCCAGGGGACTGGCAAGTCAGTACAACTCAGGGGCCAGGCAGCACCGGGCACACTGTGGGTGCCAGACACTGAAGGATGGGGAAGGTGACAGGGTGGGAGGCCTGGGCGCTGCACTGACCAGTAGGAGTTGATGATCTTGCAGAAGGCCAGCTCGCAGCACATCTTGAGGTTGCCCTGGTGCTCTGGGAGGTCAGCGGCCGAGCACTTGCTGGGATCCACCTCGCAGTTCTCATCTGACTCGTACAGTGCTTTGATGAACTCACCTACGGCCAAGTGGGCAGGGAGTGGGGAGTGAGGACCTGGCGGGCCCTGCCCACCCTCTGCCCCGCTGCTGGCCCACTTCCTACCTAGGGCGTCCTGCAGGTACTTCTGGCCCACTAGCTTGAGGTACTCCTCGATGGCCTTGGTGGCCAGTGTGTTCTCCCGGAAGATGAGGTGCTCGTTGTCCCCACAGCGGTCCACCTCTGACATCATCAGGTCTGTCAGGAAGTCCTGAGGAGGCAGGAGGTGGGGAGAGCAGGACCTGAGCTGGCCTGGCATGGAGGGTCCTAGGATTCCAGACCTAGCCAGAGAAGCCCTGGCATTTTGAGGCCGCTCCATCACCAAGCTGCAGGGGTCCCCAGGAGGAACAGTGTGCCCACCTTCAGGGGCTGCTGGGGAGTGTGGGCAGGGCAGGGGCCCCCAGCCAAGGTAGGAGCCTAGAACTGGTGACAGTACAGCCGGGTCTATGGATGGAGGCAGCCTGAACAAGTGCATGCCACATGGAGCCACAATCCCCCACAAAATGAGAATGGACTCATTTCCATGTATAGCCCTAATCAGGCCTGGCCTGGTGACCACAGCAGGACTTGGCCTCTCCCTCCAGCATCAGTGCCAAAGAGGACAAATGAGGCTGCCCTGTCTCATGGTCAAAATGGTCACCAGTATCCACCTGTGACTCGGGTGGGGGCTCCCACACCGGACACAGATGCCTTCTGTGCAGTCCCACTGCCTGGGGAGGTCATGAGCCACCATGCTCAGGCAGGTGAGAGCAGGAACTGATGTGCAACTGGCTGGAGAGGGAAGGTGGAGGCGCCACTGCCCACCTGGCAATCCGGGGTAGCAGCCCCTGGCCCATCAGGTCCCACACAAAGTGTTGTGGGAAAACTCCAGCATAGGAGCCCGAACCCACACCTTCCCCCGACTCTAGCAACCATGCGGATGCTAACTATCTCCCTCAGGAGTCCCTACCTCCTTGTACTTACAACCAACCTGTGGCTTGGGGGAGGGGAAGAAGATAGGAAAAACTGTCAGAGTTTCGAGGGAGGGTGACAGTCAGGGCAGGGGGCCACCTAGCACAGAGCCTGCAAGGCACCCAGCGGGGGTGGACCCAGGCATCTGTGCTCAAGAAATACCTCACTCTGACATGCACGAGTGGGGTCCTTTAAAACAGAACTGAGATCTAGACACAGGAACCCAGGCTGCACAGCAGAGGCACAGAGAGACAGCAGGGGCCAAGGGGAAGCTGTCGTTGGCTTCCTGGGGATTATGTGGCCTGAGGACCCCTTCCTGACCAACAGGCGACCTCCAGGGTCTCATTCTCTGAATACACTGAAGCAGGGGTCAGAGCTGCATCTCCCCTGGGGCTCCCACTCAGGACCACAGCTTTCCTGAACTCCTGCAATGAGAGTCGGGCCCCAGTGCTGGGATGAGAACCTCCTGAGAGCCAGGACCCAGTAAGGGGGGAAACCAATGCACACACAGCAGGAAAATGACTTGTCCATAGCCACACAGCCACCTGGGGCCAGATTTGGTCCAAGTCCCTTGCTTTCCAGACCCCATTACTCCTCTAGTCATGGAGAGGGAAGAGGGGCTAGTTCCCAAGTATTCCAGAGCTGGGGGCTCAGGTGCCTGTCACCCCAGGAGCACAAGTTACTTTCCATCTTTCTATCTACTCCTCTGCAACCCCACTGAGGGCCTCTGGGGTTGGCTGCGGCCCTGGCTTCATCTCCCTCCACAATGAGCACCTGGACGCACCTATCATCTCAGGCTGCTTCAGGGAGGAATCGGCTTCCCAGAACAGGCCAGCCCCAGCCCAGCCCTGGGGACCAGGTACTGAAACATCAGACACAACTGCAGAAAAGGCTCCAGCCTCTGCAGCTGTCCTCACTCCCTCTCTGGTGCCCATGGGTCCTTGATTCATTCCATTTCCCAGCATACGTCTCCTGTGTTGACCAGCACATTAAGGACGGGGCAGCCAGAGCTGGCCCAACGTGCAGCCTAGCCAGTCAAGTCTGAAGGCTGGAGGAGAAGGTGAGGGAGGAGGTAGTCGAGCACTATAGAGGAAAACTGCTCCCCATCGCAGGTCCATGGGGAGGAGGTCCCCGCCCCAGCCCTGCACTTGCAGCATACAGCAAGTCCAAGAGGGAGGGGTGCTGCAGAGGGTTCCCACTGCAGAGGCTGCTGAGGCTTCCAGCCATGGCCTCCCCTTCCAGAACCTCTAGGAACAGGTGAGAGGGTGAGGGACCTCCACGAGTCTTGTGCCCTGGACTCTGCCCTGGGGTACCTGGGGCATGGCTCCCAACTGTGCCTCCCCGACCTAGGGCTAGGAGCCTAGGACTTTGACACAGGGCGCCCCTCAGCCACCTGTCACTTGGCTCACAACACGCCACTGTCCAGAGGGCAGAGGCCCTAGTCCTTAGCCCGGCACCAGGGTCCATCCACGCTGCAGAGGCCTCAAGTCCAGCCCGTTTCCCACCCTCTCTGGGCAGCTTCCTGAATGGCAGGTGGCAAATGTAAAGAAAGAAGGTTGCCTTCGAGGCCCACAGACCATGCTCTACTGCCTTCCTAGGGGCATCCTGGTCCAGGAGCCCATTTGTCCCCAAACCAGGTAGGTGGGGCTGAGGCATGGCTTGCATGGTGGGCTGCTGGGCCCATCTTCGAGAGTAAAAGGTGAAAGGAGTTATAGGGATGGACACTGGGCACCTCTGGCCCTGAACTACGGCTTGCCTGGGTGGGTCTCAGATTCCCGCTTCTGTGAGGTTCTGGGGTGGGGCTGGCTAACCCTGAAATGGTACAATTTTGACTGCGTCTATCTGTGTGAGAATCTGTGTGTCTGGATGAGAGTGTGGGGTGAGGTGGAGCTGTGATGGAGACTCATCTGTGCATCCTGCTGGGGAGGTCTGCCGAACTCCATACCTCACAGGGGATGTGTGTTTGGCTCACTGGGGCTGGTGGCGTTGTGGGACCTGTATGCTGGGACAGCCAGCCACCCGGCCTGTTCCCCTGGAGCCTCAGGGGGTCAGTCCTCTGCAGTAGTGGTAGAAGGCACCTCAACCCAAGCCCACTACCTCACTACCAGCTGCAATCCCATCCGCTGGTTCCACACAGGCCTCAGTGATCAGCTCCAGCCACAGAGCAGGAGTACAAAACGCCCAGCCCACAACAGAACTCCTGGGTTTAGGGAACCCATCTGGTAGTGACTGGTGCCTCCAAGGCCTTTGTTAGGCCTGAAATGTACGGATGTGGGGAAGGGCAGGTAACCCAGCACTGTCGCCCAGCCTGTGTCAGGAGCTGAGGGGCCTGCACGCACCTTCACCTTGCCCGTGCTCTGCAGGATGTGCACCAGGGCAGATGCCATCTCCTCCTTGGTCTTGGCACTGAGGATGGGCTCGAGGGCTGCACACAGCCCCAGGTAGTGGTTGGTGATGTGCTCAGCGAACTCTTTGTACATCTCCATGGGCAGGATGGTGATGGTTTGGTAGCGCGCCTTGATGCGGATCATGGGCCCAGGACCCTTGCCGCCCTTGGGGTTGGGCGTCACCACCGGGTACCACTTCTCCACGAACTGCCGCCCGGCCACCGAGGCAGCAGGCAGGCTCACCAAGCCCAGGTAACTGTTGCGCTCCTTCTTCTTCTTCTTGTCGGTCTCCCGGTACAGGTGGACAGTGACTGTGCGCAGGGGTGGCAGGTTGTGGAACTCGAAGTGCTCGCCCCAGAAAACATTGTCCGTCTTGAGCTTGCCCGTGGTGCGGGCGTAGAGCACATCATCCAGGCACAGCTCACACAGGTACTTCTTCTTGGCTGGCAGGTCCTTGGCCTCAATCACCCACAGCTTCAGGATGTGTTCCACACGCCGGCTGTTGTCCTGTATGTGCATGGGAGTCCGGGGTGGTCAGCTGGGGGTGCCACATGTAACCCCCAACCAGCCCAGAGCCTGAGAAAGCCTCAGACCCAGGAGGAGCTCTGAAGGTGGAGGCGGCAGTGGGCGCCTAGACCCTGAGTCAGGATGAGGCGGGGCTGATGGACAAGGGCTGGATCTCTGGTCGACCTCACATAAGCTCACTCACCTTGGGCAAGTGACTTAACTGGAGCCTTGGGTTGCTTGTGTATAAAACAGGACTAGGGTAAATCCTCATCTCATAGAGGGCGAGACTGAGAGAGGCCAGCACAACGCCTGACACATCACAGGCTACGCCATTATTAACTCTTCCTTAATTTGCTGGTCTGTACTGTAACTTAAGAGATGGCTATGGTGACCAGGACTTGGTCAGGCCCTCAAGTCGGCTAGGGAGACAGATACAGAAGCAGGGATTACAGTGGGGGCTCCCAGGACCTCACGGGGGAGCCCAGGGGCAGTGGGAACACAGAGGACACCAGCCTGGGAGAGGGGTCCTCACCTGGAGGAGGGGCAGACACCTAAGCTGGAATGGGAAGATGAGCAGAAGTCGGCCAGGGGCTGGGGAGTAGGGACAAGGGATTCCAGCAGAAGGACCCCAGGGTCCAGCACTCATTTCCCCAGCCCAGACTCAATGTGTAGTTTAGAAAACAGAGGCACACAGCACCTGTCTCAACCTGGCAAACTCAAACATCTCTTTCAGAGTCCACCAATATTGTCCACTCGGGTCCTGCCTCCATGCAGGCTGACCACCCCCAATCCCAGCCCACATCACAGAGATTGTCTCTCTCTTGCTTCCTCATATCTGAGCCTACCTTCAATCCCCCATGCTTTGGTGAGAGGGGTGCAGGCTTACCTTGTTGGGGTGCACTGCTCGCCGCAGGTTCTCCATCCACTTATCCCGCTCAGCTGCAGAACGGCAGGAAAAGCACTTGCTTCCTGATGACGTCGTCACCTGTGGAGAGCAGGCAAGACAGTGTTACGAGGGAAGGGACCACAGCAAGGGCAGGCAGTGATGGAAGAAGACCTTGGAGGCTCAGGGGACTCTGGCCATCAGGTCTGCATCACAGCTACAGGAAGAAGCCAGGACAAGGCTCACATGACCCTTCTACTTCATGTTTTGCAGGTGGTACACTGAGACCCACTGTCCCAGGGCAAGTCAGCAGCCATAGAGTGGCCCTGTCCTGCACCAGTGGGCTCCTTACTCGTCCCTCAGTGCCCTCTGTCCAATAGGAAAACATCTTCCTAACTCTAACCTCCCTCTCCCTGAGATGGAAAGAGGGAAGGAACGAAGACCTCGCCCAGGTCAGAGGGCAATGCTTAACCCGAGCGCACTTTCCCTAAAGGTGGAACCACAAGAACCAAGGAGACAACCAAAGGTAGGTACCAGAATCCCCTCAGTCCTCAGCTGACAACTCTGAGGGTTCTCTTCCATCAAGCAACAGTGACAACAATGGTAATATAAGTCTGGTATTTTTCATGCCGGACCAGAGAAATGAGACTTGGACTGTTTGGATGTGCCAGGCCCTAGGGTCCCTGGTCCCTGACCCTTCTCCTCCCCTCCCTGTCTGGCTCTCACTCCTCCTCTGGTCCAGCTTAGACATCTATTCCAGGTAAGGGAGCGAGTACGGGCAATTCCTGCTATGTGCTCCCACTGCCCCCAGCAGCAGACCCAGGGCTCCGCAGGGGAAGCACGCTCTTCACTCGGCATTTGAGGGCCTGCACCTTCCGCAGCACCCCCTGCTGTGAACCAGCAGACAGGGCCATCTTCACCCTACCTCTGGCAAGGATGTCAGAGCCCAGATCAAGCCCGGTTTGGCCAGGAGTCCTGAACCAGAAATGGGCCCTAGTGGGCACAGGGTATGGCGCAGATGCCAGGCACCACTCTGCTTTTTCCCCCAGGCTGGGGGTGCCAGGAGATTGTCACACTAGTCCCCAAGAGGCTGCTTTTCATTACCAGGCTCATTCCTCTACCAGAGAGCTCTCCTAGTTATACATGATTATTGGGGGTAGGAATCTTCCCAGAAACTGGTAGGAAGCAATATGAATAACTGGAGAAGTAATTAGGAACACCTGCAACAATAGTAACCCTGCTCCCGGCTTGGTCTCAGTCTTGCTGTGTGACCTCTGATGTCTTCATGCCTCCTCTGGGCCTCACATCCCCCATTTCCTATGAGGGACTAGACAGGTCATCCCCAGGTGGGTCACTGGCTCTCTGCATTGAAACCTCAGGTCGCAGAATGCCAGGGCAGGAAAGATTTGGGCTCTCATTGTTCACAAGCGGGAAACAGGCCCGTATAAGAGGAGACTCTCTGCTATCCACACTGCATTTGGGATATGAGCAGGCTCTAAGACATGGGCTCTGGTGCTTGAGAAATTCAGGCTTTTCCCCTACTCCCTGTCACCCACTGGGGGCCCCAGCAACTTCATGCTAGCATGGAGAACAGGTGCTAGCCCATTTCCAGAGAGCTCAGAGAGTAGGAAGGACAGCCCCTGCCCCAGCTCCACCTGGTCTCTTAGGAGCTGAAAGCTATCGGTAAATACGAGCCACTCTCCCCAAGACCCTGGCCCCTGCTGAGGCCACAGCAGACTGGACTCCAGGAGGATGTGGAGGAGATCAGACAGGCCAGGAGAGGATGGGGTGTCCAACCCAAGCCCTGCGAGGGGACCCACCTCAAAGCAGTAGTCCTGGCCAAGGATGCTGCTGTGCACGGGTTTGATGACCACCTCTTCCTCCATGCTGAGGTCCAGCGCCTCCACCGCACTGCTGGGGCTGAGCAGGGACTCGTGGGAGCGAGACTCCTTCAGCCTTGGCATCAGATGGGACCTGGGGTGGCAGTAGGTGTGTCAGGCTGGGCCCCCGCAGCCCGGGTCAAGCTGGTTGCCACGTCCCGCCCATCTGCCCCGGCCCTGCCCCTTCCAGCAGGCAGCCACTCCTCTCCACTCTCTCTCCTTTCTGTCTTAAGACAGATTTGGGGGCAGGGCTGTCACAGAGACCAGTGGGAACCTCCTCCCCACTGCAGGAGTCTGGCTGGGGGCTCAGCCTCTCAGAGAGCAAGAAGGTGAGATCAAGGGGCCACTCCGGGGTTAATATTAGCAAGTGAGCCTGCGGGGTAAGGGCCAGCTTAGCTCCTGAGCAGTCTCAGAGACCAAGGAAAGCCCACCTGATCCAGGCAGCTGTTTGCAGTTCTGGGCCCTTTCCCGTTTCCCCTCTCTTTTGCACTGGTCCCTGTCCAAGACTGAGCAGTCACTCTGTCCCAACATTTATCCATTATACCACTGCCAACAGCCCTTCCTCATACACTGTCCCACACCACCAGCCCCACACAAGCGAGAGCCACAGGGACCCTGCTGCTCCCATATTACAGATGAGGACAGCAAGGCAAGGCGAGGCGAGTTTTGAAGCAGAAGAGATGCAGCAGTCTCTGCACAGTACCCAAGACACACACTCCATCGGGGTCCACATACTCAGGGCCCGGGTCAGTAGCTCCGACAGGCACAAAGAGCACAGGACTGATGCCACCTGGCACCCAAATGCAGACCAGACCTGGGTCCACTACTCCCCTGCTGTGTGGCCCTGGGGAAATCGTTCCCCCGAGCCTGTTTCCTCAGTGCATCACATGGAAAGCACCACAGACGATACCTGCTCCAGGGTTAGGTAAAATCTCTCCAAAGTCAGCAGCACAGAGCAGTGTCCTCCTACAGCCCCCAGCCCCCACGGTGGGGCAGAGGAAAAGCGGGAGGATAGGCTGGGCCTGCTAAGACCACCTCCGGTGCAGAAGCTGAACCCTGCTTGTGTCCAGGGCTCAAACCCTGGGGTTGGTGAAAAACCTACTCCAGGCTTAGCCCACACGGACCTCCTACCCCCAACGCCCTATGCCCTTTGGCTCCTGGCTCCAATGGTCCAAGTGCTCAGTCCATCATTCTCTCCCTGCCTCACCAAACCAAGACCCCTACGTTGGGACATGCTGAGACTTGGCCCCTGACCTTGAGGGGCTCACAACTGGGCAGAGCCATGAGACACTTCCCTGTAGGGTGTATACCCTGTATACTCATTTCTGCAACTGCCCTGGGTCAGTGGGCTGAGCCTACTCCATGGGAACTTGAGAACCCAGAGGTGAGCAGGAAGAACCCTGCTCAGAAGGACTCAGGCTGACAGTGGCCACCCTCCCACCCCAAGCTCCACACCTCCATGGCAACAGCCCTCTGAGCATAAGAGCCCTCCCCAACATGGAGTCCCATGCTAGATGCCATAAGGAGTCAGAGTTGAGGGAATCCTAATCCTTAGATACCCCACAGAGGCCAGCCCAGGAGCCCCAGTCAACCGGCTCCCTTTGACTCTTCACGCCCAGCATGAAGCTGGCCTCTGAAAGCAGAGGGAATGGGCAGAGCCAGAGGAAAACTGTGAGACAAGTTCAAGACAGGGGGAACCCTCCCCAACTCCTACGACGACTCCCACCTGGGGCTTCCTGTTGCGACCTAAGCCCGTGGGCAAGCCCAGCATGTGCCTCTACTCCTCTGAGGCGCTCTCCCTGCAAGGCCCAGTTCACAAAGGGGCACTGTGGCCTACCTGCCACGCCACACCGCCACACCACTGTGTTGGAACAGGCCTCTTCTCCTGATAATCCCTCAAGGCCTTGCTCGAGCAGCCTGGCCTCCTCCCCATCATGGCAATGACCAATGCCGTGGGTGGGCCTGCCCTCCCTGGGCTGAGATTCCACCTGAGTCACCCACCTCCGAGGGCGAACTCCAGGCCTCCCTCCCACCTGGGGCTTCATACCTCAGTGGAAGAGATGCTCTGCCTGATAGTAGGGAAGTCACCCTGGCTGGGAACGGCTGGGACCCATAGCCCCATAGGCCTGACGTCTGGAACCCAAAACCCAGCCCACAGGTTGGGATTGGGCTGCTTTCTGGGCCAGATTGGAAAATCTCTGCCAGGTAAGGATGCTGGAAGCTAGGGAGGGTGAGGTAGGGACCAAGGAAGTACAGAGCGGGGAGCTGGTGAGCTGAAGCCGCCTCCTGCCTGGGGCGCATGGATGAGCTGGCTGTGAAGAGGAAAGGCGAGGCATGCTTCAGCAGGCTGGATCTGCCCAGGGAAACCCAAGGAGACCCTGGTCCTGCAATCCCAGGAGCCCAGCAGGCCCAGGCCAGACCCCAAAACAGCCAGATCCTGGAGTCTGTGGTTGCAGAGTCCTCCTCTTCCTTCCCCACCATCCTGTCCCACAAGCATGCTCTGGCTGACTTGGAAAGGATCCTGGCAGAAGAGAGGGCTGGGAGGAAGCTCAAGGCCCTTAAGACACCTTGGACTGGCCCAGCCTACCTGGGCAGCCCTGACCCTCCCCACTTCCCTGGGGGCTTCTCCACGAGGTGGGATGTAGAGCAGAGGCTGCATCCATCCCTGCAGCCCAAGCTCTCTGGGGGGAAGAGGAATAGGGGCAGGGCAGGCCCAGGGAGGCCCAAGTGGTTCCCACAAGGTCTCCCAGGCTACTCCTTCCTGGATAGTACAGCAAGCAGGTGGTGGAGGCGGGGCCAGTGGACCTGTACCTCTCTCACTCACGTTCCTATGTATTTCCTTCCTGACCAGCCTGGAGTCTACAGGCCCTGACACACAGTATCCTCGGTCCCTCCCTCATCTGGGCCCAGAGGGAGCTGGTCTGCTGTGACCCTGCCAGGGTGTGCCCATGGTGGTAGCTGATAAGATGAGGGGGCTCAGGAAGGAAAAATGGCCATTTGGTCACTTCCTGAACCCAGCAGGACCAATTCAAGGCCCAAGAACCGCCTCTCTGGGAAGCCAGCCCTGTCCTGTGTCTGCAGCAGTGCCTGGCCACTTTACGGCCCCATCAGCCACCCAAGGCAGGCTTTTCCCCTCCCCTGGCTTCATCCCATGCTGGCATTGTTGGGCCACTTCCTTTTTCACCTCCAGCCTCTGCCCTGCCAGGCTCGGGAAGCAGCACATCAGAGACAGGCAGAAGATGGGTAGTAAAGACTGCCCAGGCTCCAAAGGGGCAGGGGTAGGCGCAGCCTCCCTACCTGGGATGCTCAGGTGAAAGGAGGTGAGCAGGCACTGGTCTCTACCTTGCTCCCATTCTACTCCCAGGAAGGGATGCTTGTAGGCATCCACCTCTAGCCAGCACAGGGTGAGCACCCTGCTGGTCATCTGCACATCCCTTTTTTCATATTTCAACTACACACAGCTCTGCCAGGAGTATTCATCTACCCATTTTACAGAAAGGCATGACAGGGTCAGAGAGGAGCAGTTACTTAAGCCGCCCAAGGCCCCCTGCTGGGATGGGAACCAGGTCAGTCCAGGAGTCATGCCCACAGCTGCCCTATGTGGTGTGGTATCTGGGGGCTGATGCCCCTGTATTCAGGGCTGGGTCCCCCAGCCCTGGGTCCAGTCCCTCTCTGCTGCCCAAGGCTGGGGGTGGAAGAGAAGGTGGCCCAATTGCATGGCCCACGGCATCCTTCTGACCCTGTGCCCAGCTCATTCTCATGATGTCTTTCCCCTCTGACCTCCTGTGGTCCTTGGAGGCTAGAGCTTTGGTCCCCTAGGCGAGGTGGCACCAAGGAAGGCAAAAGGCCTTCACATGGGGATTCCACCCCTGCAAATCACTTCCATGGCCCAGGTCTGAGCTACTTCTTACAACAACCCTGCCAGGATGTTGCATGTCCACTACATACAGAAGCAGGTCTCAAACCAGGGCGTGGGCTGCACACTGCCTGCCTCTCACCAGGGCAGAGCTGGCATCCCCAGGCCAGGCTTACTCTGGGCCATGCGTCACATGAACCACTGTACAAGTCACCTCACAGAATCTCCACGAGCCCAAGAGGCAGATGTTGACCTCACCCTGCTTTACAGGGGAGAAACTGAGGCCTGCCATGGAGGGCAAGAGATGTGCCCAGCATCCCATCTTTGCTCTAGTGTTGCTGCCACACCCAAACCTTTTGGGTCCATTTCCTCATCTGAAAAAGGTGGAAGGAGGCTTGTTTCACCCAGAAAACACTGGCAGCCAGCACACACTGAAAGTGCTGTGAAGACAGCGCCTTCAGGGGGAGGTATTTCCCAGTCCTTTGAGTTGAGGGGGTGAAGGGATCCCCTCTTGAGACCACATGGGATTCAATGCCAGCCCCAGAACTTGGCACTCTGAGCCACTGGCTGGCATCTACCTGCCTGCCCCACCTGACCAGGCCCACTCTTGCAGCGGCCTGCCTGCTGGGACCCTCCATTCCAGGAAGCGGGAGTTTCAGGCAGGGCCCCAGGCATATGCTGTCCTTCCCCTTTTCTATCCAACCTTCAACACCTAGCTTCAGTGCCCCTTCTTCCCTGAAGCCTTCCTGGACTCCCTGGGCAGACAGCCATATCCAGGCTGTGCTGGGAAGGTCTGTCACAGAACTGTCTCCTTGTCAGGCAGTGGGTTCCTGGTGGGTAGGGTTGGGTCTGGCTGGCTCCAAGGTCCAGAGCCTTAAGAGTTCCTGCACCAAAACCCCAATACGCCAGCAGCCAAGGTCAGCTAAGCTCAGAGGGAACGGAAGGTCAGCGGGGACAAGGACAGTCCTCCCTCAGCCTGCAAACCCTGGTGACGTGGTTGTTCCCTTGGAGGAGGGACAAAGAAGGCCTGAGGGTGGGTCGTCAGGGCAGCTGCCTGTCCAAGGCCAAGTCCCAAGAGCAGCATTCCAATGTTCATTCCAGAGTCTCCGGGAAATGCCCCTGCCCTCGCTCTGTCCAATTATGGGCCGCTTCCCCCATCTCTCTCAAGGTTAGGAGGCTCATCCTACCCTCTGTGGCTACACCCTGCCCCCTACGGCTCCAGCCCTGAGACCCTTCTA